AGATTTGTATTTTTACACATTTGAAATCATCAATCAATCATCGTTAGACCACCATTAGAAACCTGGAAGTACTGGACAGCCGTTTCATCCTGGTATGGTATTCATCATCAGTGCGTATCCACGACTCCTGCACCTCGCAGGATTCGAAACCGGGACCTTCGGTATTGTGTGAGAACGTCTAAACTCTGGACGACTGGGCTGGCATCCAACGGTGTTAATGTCTAACTCTGATTGATCTATGGATTTTGCGTGACCTCACCCACTTGTCTTTGTTAGTTACTGCCTACACCCGACAGGGTTGAACTCCATTGGTCACGTCTTCTCACTAGAACTCCGAGAATTTCCTCACGAAGCTAGTCACTAGTGAGCACTGTTACGATATTTTCAGTTATAGCTTTGGAGATTTGTGTTTTTACACATTTGAAATCATCAATCTGATGAGTCCCATACCAGGACGAAATGGCTGTTTAGTGCTTCCAAGTTTCTAATTGTGGTCTAACAATGATTGATTGATGATGTCAAATGTGTAAATTATGATATAATATAAGAAAATCTTAAGTAGATAGATGCGAATGTGGATGAATTAATCTTCAATCCCTTCTCTTATTTAATCTCTTCGTGCAATTTATAAAGAAGCATAAAATGCATGAAAATAATTGGTGAAATGAATTCTGAATTTTTGAGAAATTAAATGTATATTAACTTCTTCACTGCATAGGAATGAATGACAATGAAACTTTAGATTAAATAGGATAGTCAATAGTTTGCGTATTCTCAAAATTCTGTTATTGGTTACTTAAGAAAAAAAATTTGATTCAAATATTGTTACCTACAAAATATCATTGAAATTATTCACTCCTCAACAGTAAGCACCTAAGACCTACAAAATCTTATTCATGAACACTTAGCTTTTAAACCGTTGAAGCGGAAAATTAATCTGTCACAAATGGTTTTCAACTGTTAATTAAAGTTATCAAATTGTGTTTGAGCATAAAGTAAACATCGATTTAATTGGGCGATGCTGACTGTTAAATATTAATATTCACTAAGTTAAATAATGACTAAGCATTGTTTTATTAATGTCTCAACCATCTTAGTTGTCAAAAATCTACAACTTTACCTACCGATATATCACTTTTAACTAGTACTGTAAGACTAACTTCAGTAGAATTCACAGACTGATTTCATCACTTGTGATTTATGTTTCAATGATATCTGTGGCTAAATACGAACAATCATCACATGTTTTCTACTATCATAGTCAGGAATTTCATAAACGATAAGTAATACAGAGTGGAGTCACTTTCTAATAGGAAAATTAGACATACTCAACTATTCTGTAAATTATACCACTTGATAAGATGCAAGCTAGGATTTAGTATTTATGCTAAGCTTTCTTCAGCGATCGGTTATCTAAAGCTAACAATATTTCCTAAATTAGAATCTTGATAAAAACGTAATCAATTACTTCACTTATAATGTTAATGTTAAACAATAACTCGTAGATTTACACTTGTTGAAATGATTAACAACACGTATCAAAAAAATTCTACATAATCAATCAAGACCTTTAGTAGACTTTACATTTTGTCAATATTTCCAATGAACAAGACTAAGTTCCATTCATAGCTTTCTTAATGCTCAGAAAATATGTCAGTCAGTCAGTCAGTTGCAATGTAGAACTTCGTACGTATGCACATAAGTTCATATTGCCATACCACATTAGCACAGAGACGCAAATGTCAAATCAAATCCCATAGTGATAAAGATAGTAGTGGTATTAATGGTAAAGGAGAAGATTAGGGTTTGAAGATATTATTCAAGAAGTATAATTCAGTGAGATAAGGTTAGAAAGACAAAACTAGAGGTGTTGAAGAATCCAGAAGATTAGGATTTGAGAGATCACAACAAATGGATGCACTTGCGTCATCGCAAACGATTTTGAGCTATGTCATTCAAGTTCTCTAAAGATTGGTGACCCCAACCTGATAGCCTACATCTACCAACATGACTCGGTCCACTTGGCAGTGACTTCATGGATTTCTGCCATGTTTTGGTCTGGTCGCCCCTAGCTTTCTTCCAACCTACTCCTACACTGCAAAACATAGCCCGTCGAGGCAGTCGGTGGTTAGGCATTCGTAACACATGTCCCAACCACCTCAACTGATGAAATTTCAATACTTCATCTATTGATCTGCTATCCTTACCTAGTACTTGTTTCCTAACGACAGCATAGCTTACTCGGTTGTCCCACGATATACGAGCAATGCTTCTTAAGCATCTATGATCGAATACTAGTAACCTACGAACATCTTCTACTCTTAACGGCCATGTTTCACATCCATGTAGGAGAACGGAGCGAACTGCTGCGCAGTACACCCGTCCTTTGGTTAGCGAACGGATATCTCGCCTACGACATAAACGGCGTAAATTGGCAAAAGCAAATCGAGAAGTCTATATCCGTGCTGAGATTTCGTCAGTCACCAGGTTATCAGCGCTGATGAGACTCCCCAGATAAGTAAAGTGACCAACACGCACAACTACCTCACTCGCTATCACTAGTTCAGGTGCCGATGCAACCCAATCTTGAAGCAACATTTTGCATTTCGAGGGAGAAAACCGCAACCGGAACATGCTCGCATTGTTGCTTATGGTAGTCAGAAGACTTTGCATTTTGTCAGCGTCATCTGACGAGGTTAATGTTAACTCTAAAAAGATGTCTACGACAAAGTTAAACAAGAATGGAGAGAGTGGAAAGCCCTGATGGACACCCCTTGATGCAGGGAATTCAGATGACAGTTCATCATAGGCTCTCACTCGACCAGTGGTGTTCATGTACTTCTTTGGCTCAGACAATCTACTTGATGGTTTTTTCCCCACAAATCTGTTTCTTCAAATTTTGTTATCCAAAATAAATCTTTTCTACAAGACAATAATGTAGTATTGTTTTATTAATTAATGTTTGTGCCAGAATTCCATATGCTGACTCTTTTCTAATTTGACTGAAAAAAGGTATCGTCCCTTAAATTCACCTGTATACTACAAACAATTATGTAACATTTTCACTTAACAATTAAAGATATTTATAGATAAATTTTTAATATTTCCCGTTAGTTTATTTTGAGTAGACAATTGTTACGAATCATTCAATCTATGGTATTTCATTTTATAAATAATCTTAAAAGAAAAAAGCATTTTTTTTCTCCTTAATATCGTTACATTCTACTCAAACTATTGTATCTTTATAATTCATATTGTTCATTTTGAAGTTAATCATTGGTATGATAGTATATTGCATGAACAACCTCATAGAATTTTAAAACTTTGCGTGATACTGGCCTAGTGAAATCGAAAGCCAATAACTATCATTTTATAACAGATTGAAATTGAAAATAAATATTTGTCAATGCCGAGCAAAATATTGAATTTTAAATTTTAGGGGAAAAAAAAATTATAAAACTAAGTTGATTTTAACTGAATTACAATAAAACAACAAGTCCAAAATATTTTATTTTAAACTGACTTTAACAATAATCAAGTTATCTTCATTAAAATAAAGTGCTGTTTTATTATAACTCTAAACTGTATAGATCAAGTCATTGTGAATTATTTAAAATTTACTTACATGTCATTAATAAAGCACTTCACCTAAACATATAGGCGCTATTAAATATTTTGATTTCAAATTGCTGATAATCAACTATTGTAAATTTCCATAATGATTAAGTAGTCTAGAGGTTAAGCGTTCCATGCGAGACCGAAGGTCCTGGGGTTTGATCCTCACAGTCGTGGGTACACACTGCTGATGTGTCCCATACTAGAATGAAACCACTGTCCAGTGCCTACAGGTTTCTAATGGTAATCTAACAATGATCGATTTTATTGTACATTGTACATATCTACTGTAACTTTATACAAAACCACTTTTCACAAATAATACGTCTGTACTTATTTACCTGAATTATGGTTAAGATAGGCAAGTAACTCTTAGAAAAAGACAAGTTTTATACGGTTTATACTTATAGACACAAAAATATAAAAGCAGAATGGTGTTTATTTTGTTACATTAACGTAGCTTTACATCCTCTAGTTGGAATCAAAACAATACACTTTAAAATATTGTTTGACTTAGTTGTAAAAATATTCCACTTAATTTATTACAATTAGTAAGATCTAATTAGCCATATTAATTTATTGCCTTATGCAATCAATGAAACAG